TTGAGATCACTTATTTGTTTTATTTAACTGGTGCATGGTAATAGTATTTTTGCAGACATTAATGTTCTCATGGTATGATTATTCTAATTGCCATCACTCAAAATGTGTCCATCTCTAACCAGCTTCAAAGCTTTAATTTCCGATTATGTCACGGAAAAACATATTATTCTGCCACATTGATTTCCTACAATTTGCTGAAGGTAAATGAATGCAGAATCATTCAATCAATCATTCCATTATAGAGCATCCCTGGGCAAACATATAAACAAATAATCTAATTTTGTTTCTGTCTTGTGTGAAGAGGTGAAAACTGATTGCCCAGATGATTAAATGACAACAAGTAAACTTGATTCACTTAATCTAGCCACATTCTTTGACAGTCACTTTTGAACTAAACAAATAGACATGAAGAATGGAGGGAAGCTAGTCATTGAGCCCTGCAGATATTGAATGCTGTAGGATAACAAAAACTCCCTTACTATTTGACCTCCAGAACCCTACGAACCTGGCTGCTCCCTTTTCTCAGAAACACTGGCCTACTTCATTTCTCCTGCTCTATTCCTGGGGTCCCTCCAAATTGCCCTTTCCCTTCCCACTTTCAAAGCCTGCCTCTAGACTAACCTCTTTGACAATGCTGTTGGTTATCTTTCCCCTCCCCACCCTCTTCAGTTATCACCCCATCTTGGCTCGAGTGCCCAGCAAACAGTATAACAAGGTTTGAGACATTCTCCTGACATGAATATATACATGCAAATTATATTGTATTACTTTAAACTATTGCTTACATTTTAAACCATGGACAGTGTTGTATCAGGATGACTTTTTGTACATATGAATATAGTGGATTTTAATTTCAAAAACACTCACCTTAAAGGCCAATACTTGAGATACAATGGTGAAGGTGCACAAATCCAGAGCAATTGAACTGGTCTGATAAAGGAACAGGTAACATATACAGGAATAAAATTCCATTTGCTGTTAAATTTAAGGCGTAGCTATGGGAGATTTTTTGATTTTAGCACAAAAATGTTCCTAATTTAAAACACAGAATGGTGTTGTGTTATTTCAAGCAGCTGTCAAATTTAGTGGTCAGGTTGTGAAATCAGTTAGTTCGCACTCGAAATTTACTGGAAATCTCACTAATTGTTTTTCATTTAAAATTGCATCGATATTAAACTTAAAATGTGTGTTAATTTTGAGACTGATTTATTCAGACTATCAAAGAAGAATCTGGAGGCAAAATCTCAAAGTTTAAAGCTCAGTTCAAAGAACCATGCACATGGGCACTGCGATTTGCAATAATCACATTATTGGCATTCATCAGGGTTTGGATATTGGATACTTCAATTCAATCTTCATTTGGAAGCTGGGCTTCTGCAGGGAGGCCTGCTAAATGCAGCGAATGCTGTGATGGAGACCAAGATTCAGGAATCCGTTCGACTCTCACCAAAGCTTACGTTTAGTTGGGCCTGAAAGGAATTGAGGAAGAGTTTCAATAAGAACATAAGAATTTGCTTGGTGAAAGAAGACCAAGGTCCATTTAGTTTGCCTTCCACCATCCTTTTTTTTAAGTTTTGCCCACAAATGTACAGTCTATTCACTTTACAGTATATTCTGGGAAGCGCTTTGAAACATCTTGATGATGTGAAAAGCTCTATATCAAATGCAAGGATTATTATATTATTATCCTGGCAGTCGCAATTTATTAACATATTGATGCATTACTTCACTCATTCCTACAATATTTCTGTGCCAGGTGGGGCTTGAAACAACAGCAACTTGCATCTAAAAAACTGCCCTTTATGTATTGTCTCAGGATCCTTTATAGTGATGGTTCTAGACCCTGAGAACGGATGGTGAAAGGGAAGAGGAGGGAGATATGGTTCAATAAGGTGATATGTTTGGCAATGGAATAGCAGAATTAAGCCAACCTTCTTTGTTGATCTTGGTAGTCCAGTTCCTGAGCCAGTTGGGTCTGTAGTATTCCAGGCCTGTATTCCCTTGAGTTTATAAGGTTGAGTTATGATCTAATTGAGGTTTTTAAAATAATAAAGGGATTCAATAGGGTAGATACAGAGAAACTATTTCTTCTAGTGGGGGAATCCAGATCAAGGGGGTATAATCTTACAATTAGAGCTAGGCCATTTAAGAGTGAAATTAGGAGGCAGTTTCTCAGCCAAAACTGAATGGTATGAATATTCTTAAGCATGGTGATGGGTTTCCCTGTGTGTCAAACACTTGGCTAAGAAATATATGTAGCGATGATGTTGGTGTTTGCGATTATTAAAAACAGTTACAAGATGACCCTCCTAGAGTCTCTTGCAGAGCAGGTTTCACAGATCAATGCTCCATATTTTAAAGTAAATCTTAGTTGAGTCGGTTTTAGTTGTAAATTATGAACTGGAGCATTTCCAAATTTATTTTCTTCTTTAAATATTTGTTTTTAAGTCATGGTCTACTGAGAGGAGTGAAATTTTACCAGCCCATAAATTAGGTTCTTACTTTTCCAGCCTGAGACCTAGGCCCTTGGCTGTCCAAACAGTACAATTTTCTAGAGCAACATAGAGATCTGCGGCTACAGACTTTCAAAAGCAGTATTGTAAGTGAAAAACCCATAGAGGACAAATGAGATAGTGTGCTTTTATATATATATATATAATATATAGGGGCATTGAATACATATAAAATATTATGTGCATTTTGAGCACTCCTCTACAGAAAATATATCAGAGCCATAAAGAGAATAATAATAGGTCTTACTTTTGGTACAGCGCTTTTCAAGTTGTGAGGCTTTATGAAGCGCTTCACAGGAATATACAATAAAGCAGAGTGACTGTGTATTTTGTACGCAAATACTTCAAGGATAAAGGGGGAGATTAAAAGACTTATTTTTAATGCAAAGGGTTATTAGGAAGGGAAACATATTACCACAAGCGAGCAATGAAACCAACTTTATTATGACTATAGATAGGCACTTGAACAATGAAGATATAAAAAGCTGCATTACAATAATAGGAAAATGTATTTGGCACAGGTGTACGTTTGGCAGAATGCCTACCTTCTGAAATTGCTTTGATTGGAAAATAAATATTTTTCATGAAATTACAAGAAAATCTGTTGTCCTGAATTGTTAATCATATATATATATATATATATATTCTTAAACTTTAAAATGGTTGTCTATATTTTTTAAGAAAAATTGGTGGAGATCTTCAAACACATTTAAAAGATTGTAGATTAAGCTGCTGTACATCATTGGTGCTGTGCACTGGAATAGCAAAGTAATTTACTGCATCTGCATGAGTATGCCAGTCAGACTGGTATGAGAGACATGCATTGAATAACTGCTGGCTGTGAGGGATTTTCATATGTGTGTGTATCTGAGTGGTGATGGGAAAAACTGTAGAGTTCAGGAGAATGTACAGTTAAGCTTGCCATCAGCTTTTATTTTTCACTAACTTCTGCAAAACATATTTTTAAATGTTTTATTTGTTAAATAAAACCATGAATACTTTAAATGAGCAAATTACTGCTTTCAATTTTTTTAATTCCCTTTTCAATGGAAGTTTGTTTTCCATTGTTAAACTTAAGCAGCCAGTTTATAATAATAATAACCTTTGCATTTGATATAGCGCCTTATCGTGCCTTTGAGACGTTTCAAAGTGCTTCACAGAATATACTGTAAAGTGAATTGATTGTATATTTTGTAGGTGAAATGTGGCAGCTAATTGTTTGGCAGCACAGGTGGCAAAATAGTTGACTCCCTGCCAAACAATGATGACATCCAGTTTGTGGGCCTCTTGTTACTCTATTTGAATTTAATTTGTTTCCTCACATTGGGTGAGTGTCACCGATTCATGTCCTGATTAATAGACAGAGTGCAAAACTAAGTTGGTTTTGGATAGTGATGCAGACATACGCTTGCCTGAATAGAGTGTTGTATTAGAAAGGAACATAGGAAGGTAAAGAGCTGGAAAATCCAATTGCAATTTGATTGTTTGGTTTAATTTTCAAATACCATCTGGTGTTATCTTATGTTCCTTGCTATCCAATTTCTTCTTGAAGATTTTCATTATCTGTTACCTTAGATGAACTATTTTACATGTTAACTAGCTTCTGCAGGAGGCAGTTAAAGCTAAAGTGTCTCTTCATGCCCTCATTTCTAAGTTTGACTTCTTTTGGACCTCTTGACCTTATTGATAAAGGTGAATATGTGCTGTATACTCTTAAAATGTGGTACAATTTAACCAGTTCACGCAAAGGAGCTAAAAATGTTCAACAAGGTCTTTACAGTAAGCACTTGAAGCTTTTGCACTACTGAATGTTGTCAAGCACTCACGGACCTGGAGGGCAAGTAGCTAATTCCGAGCTGACTCAGTCGGTGGTTTATTTTCCTTAGATCATTAAGTTTTATAGTCTATAATTTTAATGCTCATGTTGACTGATCCTGCGATTTATTGAAGTTTTGTGAGAATAGTACAACAGCATGACATTATTATGTCAGGTTTCTTATTGATCCTGAGAGCTGTGTGATCCAGAGGTTGAGGCATTGAGTGTGGAACAGCTGAAAGTTTTCAGATTTCTTTTGTTATTATATTGCATCACCTTCAAGCAATGTGCTTTTCAGTGAAGACTCAATAACATGGACAGCTGTCTTGTGGAAGGCCAGTCACTGAGCATTGTGAGTTTCTTCAGTTAGTGGCAGAATGTGCTGGGTTTAAAGATGATCCACTGAACACAAACCATCAATACCACTGTCATGATTGTAAGGTGAAATAAATGAATATGTTGCTTGGCGAGGTGTGGCCAAATAGCATTTTGTGCAAGAGATTCAGTTGTGTTTAACATATCATTTGTATCTGATTGCAAGGCTAACCTCCTGACTCTACAGGCCCAGCATGACAGCTGGAATTTAAATCATGGGGGAATGAAAAATAAATGAGCTTTTGTACCCATAATTCATTGCCGCCTGACACCAGTGGTCTTGGGGCCCTCCCCTGGCTAAAAAAGGCAATGCAGAATGGACTGGGTATCGACTGCTCTAATAATAAAACTGAGTAATAATGGATAAGGTTACCTTGAAGCAAATATGTAATTATTTTGACCTGTACATTGGGAGCAGCAGTTACAACAGGGGAGGTTGCTGGGGCTTGAACTGGTGTCACACTATAAACTGCTTTTTGGTATCCTTTTCTGCTTTATCGTCCCTCCTAGCTGGCTGCCTTCAGATACCAAAGATTCTAAACAGGAGAGCTGGATCCAGATCGCAATACATCGTCCTTTTAGATTGAAGTGGATCTCCTTATTCCTAGCAACAAGTCTCCAGTTGCAGAGGATTTTGCTGGGGGAAGGACTCTACAGAAGCACCAGAAGTTCTCCATAATGCAAGCTCCCCCATTCATTTTTATTCATCTGATTAATCAAATCCTGCATAATTGAAGACTATCATTATCATTGAGGAAAGACAGAACATAAGAAACTTGATCAGTATGACTGAAAGCACAACTGAAGGTACTGTAAAAGAGCTACAAGTGTGTACCTTGTCATTGGCTCAGTATCAGTCGTTCAGCGTTAGTATGCAAACTGTATTTCCTTTGAAATTTGCTGTAAAAGTTTTTTAAAAAAACATATTTTAAGATGAAAATAATTCTTCTCAAGTTACTGTGTGAATTAGAAATGGCTGTACCAGTCAGCAGTAGAATTAGATTACCACAGCTTTCCATAAATAACACGGATCGTGTAGCCTGAGAAATTGTGCAGTCAGGCTTATTACTTGTGTAGGTGGTGGGGGGTATATTTATTTCAACTATGGATTAAAATGTATCAGGCATTAGGCTTTAAGCAGCATTTCTGGAATTCACATAAAGGCAGTATTAAGAAGAGCACCGTTATGCACCCTATCAATTTGCTTGTCTGTTTTAATATCTAGACTTAAAATTTAAATATGGTTGATAGGGAAGGGGGAAAAAGCTTTAGAGAGATTTGCTATGCTTCAATTAAAAATTATGCATCATAGTTTTCGAACAAGTATTTTCTGATTGAAATATATTTAATTTGTTAAAAGACCAAATGTACCGTAGCCTCTGAATCTCTGGCCTATTAATACTTTTCCCAAAATTGCTGACAAGAGCGTCTTTGCATTTCCCTGAAGTACTGGGAGTCCAATTAGTGCAGTAGGTCGTGTTTGTCAGACTCAAGGCTTCTGTAACTTAAACTTGGATGTGACAAGTTGTGGTGAAGTACTAAAACAGGTGGCATTCCCAGATGAACGAATAGAGAACAAATGACGAATACTGGCAAAATCAAGTAAAAGCTGATCCCTGAGTGTCTCATAAGAACTGGAGCCTCATATTCCATTTTTAATTACAAAATGGGCATTCATTAGCAGTGAATGATGAAGCAACTATAATAATGTGCAATTCACACTTCTAAAGTAGCTGACAAACTAAATGAACTACACTAAAGTTAAAAACCCTGAAACAACTGGGATGGTATATAAATGCAAGTTGTTGTTGTTGAAGTGGTTCTCTTCTGGACTAATTGTGTCAAGGTTGATTTTCACATGAGACCTTCCAGCAGCAACAAGAACTTGCACTTAATAATAATAATCTTTGCATTTGATATAGTGCCTTATCAAACATCTCAAAGCACTTCACAGAATATATTGTAAAGCGGATTGACCGTGTATTCTGTCGTTGAAACGGCCAATTGCTCACAGCAGTATCCCACAAATCAATTTATTTTGAGGAATTATTAACCCTGAAAACGATCCGCAAATTGACTAACAACCAATCGACTTACTGCTAGGTAAACAGAGGCTTGTTGTAGTATACCGTATATTTATTTATTAATTAATATCTACATTTCTATAATGGCTTACATGTAGGAGAACATCCTAAACTACTTTATCAAGTCTGAGCGAGTGGCTTGAAACTCGCCTCATGCTGGTGTAACAGAAACATGAAGGAGGCCATTGTTGTGAAATGGAAGGTTTGAAGGGGGTATAGGATCACAGAGCTACAATTGTGCAAAACTGTGGAAGCATATAAGGATGAGGATCTTAGCACCAATCCACTGAGGGTCAGAGAGCCAGTGGAGCTGGGCAAGAAGGGATGATGGGCTTGTGGAGCTTGATGTGGGAGAGAAGGGGAGACTGCAGAATTCCTGGGTGGTCTGAAGTTTCTGGAGGGTAGAGCAGGGAAGAACAGCAAGTGGGGCATTAGAGAAGTAAAATCTTGAGATGGTAAAGGCATGGATGAAGGTGTTGGCTGCACTGGGGATGAGGATGTGGCAAAGGCAAACAATGTTGCAGTGAAAGGTTTGAAGGAGAACTGAGTGTTGAACAAAATGCTGAGGTTCTGTACTGCAGTGAATGATTGGGGAGGTTGATATGGTTGACAAGCTGAGGTCAGTCAGTGGCAGGAGCAGAGCAGGATAGGTCTAACTTTTGTCAGCATTTAGTTGGAGAAAGTTTTGGTGGGACAGCTTCTCCATTGAATATACTAACAATGGTCAAAACATATAACATATGAAATCTAATTTCTAGTATTCATAAAAGAATTTGAAAATATCAAATCTTGCACAAACACACCCGTGTCTTATGTATCTATAATCTTGGTGGTCAAGGGCAACCCCGGACACTGCTTCTCCACCACAAACCAGCTCCTCCACCCATCCTCTCATACCATGACCATCCTCTCCTCCAACTCCAAATGCTAGGAGATGCTGGACTTCCTCAAGACCAAAATTGAGGGGATTCGCTCGGCTGCCTATGTCCTTTCCACCACTACCCCTCCCCATCTCTCCCTCACACTCCGGCCCATATCCAATTCCTCCCTCAACATCTTTGACCCTGTCTACTCCTCTTCTCTCACCTCCATCATGGCCAAATTGAAGCCCGCCATCTGTTCCCTTGAACCCATCCCTACCCCTCTCCTTACCTCCCAGCTCCACCTCCTTCTAGTAACAGACATTGTCAACCTTTCCTTGTCCACTGGCACCATTCCCACCCCCTTAAAAACAGCTGTCATCAACCCCATCCTCAAAAAAACCTTCCCGGATCCATCCTGCTCTCCAACTTCCACCCCTTCTCCAACCTCCCTTTCCTTTCCAAGGTCCTGGAACACATTGTTGCTGCCCAGATTCACTCCTTCCTCTCCAGGCCTGGTACAAACCTTACCTTTCACACCATCTCCACTTTGTCTCCACAAATTGCTTTTCTCCAGCCCTCGCACTGACTCGTGCAGTATTCCTCAGGGGTCCGCTCTTGATCCTCTCTTCAATAACTACATACAATCTTGGTGACATCATCTGCAGAAATGGGATTAACTTCCACATGTATGTGGATGACACCCAACTCTATCTTTCTGCTACATCCTTGATTCCAGGACCACTGTTGTCTGACATACTCTCTGCCATCAAGTCCTGGATCAGAGCTAACTTTCTCCAGTTGAATGTCAACAAGACCAAGTGTCTCCTGCTTGACTCCTGTCAACACCTCCACATCTCAGACGGAGACAGCATCACCATTCATAGATGGACTCACTGAGCCAGTCTGGAACCTTGGCGTCTTGTTTGATCCTCAACTGTCTTCAAACACTACAAGCATGCCATAACCTGCCATGCGTTCCCCCCACTCCGCAACATTGCCTGACTCCGCCACTGCCGAGACCTTCATCTACTCATTCATCACATCCAGGCTTGATTACAATAGCTCCCTGCTTGTTAACTCTTCCCTCCCCAATTCTTCCCAACTCTTCCCTCCTCAAGCTGCAGATCATTCAGAACTTTGCAGCTTGTGTCCCCTCCCACACCAGGCTCTGTAACCCTATCACCCCCACTCCCATCCTGCTCCACAGGCTCCCCGTCCCCCAGAGGACAGAGTTCAAAATCCTTGCCTCGCCTTCGAAGCCCTCCACTGCCTTGCTCCTCCCTACCTCTGTGACCTGCTAACCTCGTACCGGCTTGTCTGCTCCCACTGCTCAGTAGACTCTGGTCCTCCACATCACCTCCAGCCTGCTATGCAAGCAGATTTTTTGCTGGTAGACCCCCTCCTGGTATGTTTATGATCTCTAGATTTGTGGATTGATTTAAGAATCCCTCAAATTAAAACCCCAGGGTCAAACCCGTCTTGACTCCAAAACCTGGCAAGAAATTTGTAAAAATAAATAAATAAACTGCACAACATGAAGAAAGATCATTAATGCTGCTGCACATGAGATGACAGGTGCTACCATGCACCATGTTGGGAAAAGCTGAAGTTTGTAAATGGTGTGTGTGAAAAAGCTTTACAAACCGAGCAACGAATGAGGCAGGCAATGTGATAAATGTGAAAATAGGAGGGTTATGTAAATGACAATGCATGTACAAATATAATCCTTGCATTTGGTGCAGCACCTTTAAAGTTAAAAGGATCTCTAAACATTTCACAATATTTCTATAAAGGATAGTGACTGTGCATTTGTAGGCAGACATGCCACCAAGTTATGCTCAGCAGTGTCCCACAAACAGCCAATCAAGAGAATGATCCTGTTTTTAAAATCTGGAGGATTGTTGGTCAGGACACCGGGAGAAATTTTCTTCTCTTTTCAAATAGATCTATAGGATAGATAGAAACTTTAATGTCCACCTGAACAGATGGATGTTTAACATCTCATCTGAAGGAACAGCACCTATGACAATGAAACTCATTATCTAATGCAATAAACCAATTATCTCTCACAGTAAACTATGAGGGTAAAGTTCTGACAAGTGTGTTGAACAAACTATCTTCTGGCTCAGAGGTGAGAGTCTACCAATTTTGTTAGGCTGATACCCATGGCTATGGTGGGAAAGTGAGTGAATGTAGAACCATAGAAATTTATGGCACAGAAGTCAGCCATTCAGCCCATTGTGTCTTTGCCGAGTCACTCACGAGCAGTCCTTTCAGTTCCACTTACCTACCCTTTCTCTATACCTCTTTCCATGACTCTTTTTAAGGTATTTGTCTAGCTCCCTCTTGAAGGCCAATGTGGATTTTGCCTCAATTACCTCTCCCGGCAGTGAATTCCATTTCCTAATGACTCTGGCCATGAAAACAATTCTTTTAACTTCCCCATTTGCTCAATTGCTAATTATCTTAAATTATCACTGAGTCACTGACCAGTGGAAATAATTTCTCCATATTGACTTGATCAAAACCACTCATAATTTTAAAGACCTCCATGAGGTCACCCCTCAATCTGCTTTGTTGCAGCAAAAACATTCCAGTTCGTCCTGTCTCCACTCATAGGTCGAACCACTCATCCCCATGCTCATCCTAGTAAATCTCCTTTGCACCCCCTCTATTGCCTTGACATCTTTCCTAAAGTGAAGTGACCAATACTTAGGTCTAACTAACCAGTTATGTAAGTTTATCATTATCTCTTTACTTTTATATTTTATACCCCTATTTATAAACCTAAGATTCCATTAGCTTTTTTTTACAGTTTTGTCCACCTGCCTTCCAGGAAGGATTCTAAATGCGCCAAATC